AGAAGGGATAGAGGGCTAATTGGCAGCGCTGTGAAATGGGTTGTGATAACTTAAACACTTGAATAGAGCACTTTACTATTCTGAATTGCTCTAAGCTGTGCTATACGGATTGCCCACTAGGAGGCACAGTTCATCAACATTTAAGGCGGAAAGGAAAGTAGATGAGGAACACATCTGTGAAAACTGGATAGTTAAGTATTCAGTTGAATAGAGTTATTAACCTTTTCAGTTAGGCATTTTGGAACTTAGAATCTTAATAAAATATTTTTACTAAATAGTATTTAATTTTTTTAAATTTAAGTTAAAAAAGTTTAAGTCTAAATTATAGGCTGGACGTGGACCTTTATGCACTGATGAGTGACCTGACATTTTCATGGACTATTTGGCTTTTAACTACCTCTTGAAAGATATTAGAACTTTATCCAAATCTTTAATAATAATTCTTCCTACTGTATATTGCGAATTGGGAAGTTTATAGATTAAAAATCGTACAGTCTTGTAATCAAGTTGGAGATGAAAGTAAACACTTTATAACTTGAGTTCTGTTAAATGTCTTTAAGCCAGCATTGATGAATGGATATCTAAGCAAGTGTTGACTAACTGCCAACTAAGAGAAACTGCTACCAGTTCAGTTCCATTGCTGCATTTCTCATCTTTTTTATTACTCTTACTAGCAACCAATAGGATGGTATTTGAATACATCTCAATATTAAATTGCATGTCGTTCAGAAAGGGAAAGGTCTGTAGGACTTATTTTAGATAGCATTTACAGAATAATTGCATTTAAGATTCAGAGAGGCCTCAGAGTAGTTAATCCATTTTTTTAAACTTTAAGTATATATATTGGTATGGCACACTTCAGAAGGTTTTTCATAAAGTCTTGTTACAGTTTGGAGATTTTGAAAAGTAGGATGCATTATGAAAAATCTGTCAAGCATTTGGAGATGTTGATTTTCTTTTTATGACAGATACGGACTTTTGAGTCAATTCAAAAATTCTACATTTGTTGAGCCCCTACCATGTGCCAAGAATTGTATTAGATGATTGGGACACAGCTAAACTGTGATCTTTGCCATCTTGAAGAGCTTACATTCTATGGGAATGGGAACAGAGATAAGCAATAGGCAAAGTAAGTTATTCAGCATGTTAGGTACTACATGCTATAGGAAAAATTAAGGGACATTGGGTGGTTGCAATTTTAAAGTGACTAGGAGAGGCCTCACTGGGATGATGTTTGAGGAAAGACTTGAGGAAAGTGGTTGGGATGACTTAAATGGGTTATAATAGAAACAACAAGGGTGGAAGCAGGGAGGAAAGTTAGGAAGCCACGGCAGTAATCCAGAGGGGAGATGATGACCTGAATCAGGGTTGCAGTGAAGGGAGCAGAGAGAAGTGGACAGGATATAGATGTAGTTTGAAGGTATAGCTGATGGGATTTCTTGACTCAATTTGTGGATTGGTTCTGAGAAGTGAATATAAAGGATTATGGCATGGCAGGGATGCTTCTGAACAGTCGCAGTCCTGGGGCAAGAGTACTGTGGCGACACTAGGGGTTAAAAAGTTTTGTTAAATGAAAATACATCCAGTGCTACTGTCTTGACAAATAAACCTTCAGAAGTATTTGGAAGGCCAGGTTTGAATTTCAGGCCCTTCAAGGCCAGTGCCAGAACCTTTCTTGCAAGCAGGCCGATTCTCTGCCTGTGTCCCACCTTCCTTCTCTTCCCATCCCTGCCTCTGAATTGTATAGCGAAGGGCCTCCTGCATGTTTGTGTGGACACCCAAGCCTGCATATTCAAAATCCGTCCGCCTCCTTACACCCCACTGCACACAATGGTGAGATAATACACTTGGAAACAGTTGAGGCCATTTAGGCAGGGTATTTGGAATCCTGAGTACCTGGCAGCTAGTCTCAGATGAGTATGAGTTCCAGATAGACATGTAATTTTGGCTCTTCTAAAGCTCAGCGCCTCTTTGGCTTGTTTGAAGGGCAGTGCTGCTCCAAGGTCTTTGGCCTGAGCAACTGTGGATAGAATTGCCATCAACTGAGAAGGGGACTGCAGACGGCAGAATGGGTCAGAGGGAGGAGATGTTTGGGAGTACTTATATTTTTGTTCTCTATTAGACACCCAAATAGTACTGTAGAGAAAGTGAAAAGGAAAATTTTCAATTTATAGTAACAATGGTCTGGAGTGTATCAAAACTGAAGGCTATTTTTCACTGTAACCATTCTAACCAGCTAAGGCTCTTTGAAAAGCATGAACTTTAAGTGACTCCAGACCCTTACTGAACCAGTTCCATCCAGAAATTTGTTTTAACCAATTGCATATAAGCCTATGGATTCTGGGATTCTGTCCTATCTGGCATGCTTTTTTTTTTTTTTTAAGCTAAAGCTCTATGAATCCTGCTAGAATTTCTATGATGGAAAATCCCCTCAGACTTTTCCCTCTAGTGGAATTACTCGGTGAATGTCTCCATCGGTATGTGTTCCCTTGCCTGGCATGTTAGTATTATTATGTCTTACCTTTGGTAGTCTTTGTTTTATTCCTTGGCAACAAGCAGTGGAATATAAATTCGGGAGTCTTGGGCATATAGATGTTATTGGAAATAAGATTGCATGAGATAAACAAGGGAGTGAGTGTAGATACAGAAGAGAACCAAGGACTGAGCTCTGGGCACCAAAATATTTTAAGATTGGGAAGAGGAGGAACCTGGAAAGGAGACAAGACAGTGACCAGGGAGGCCAGAGGAAAACTAAGTCATGTCCTTGAAGCCAGTGAAGAATTGTATACAAGAGGAGAAAATGATCAACTCTGTCTGATGCTGCTGATGGACACGTGGATGCAGCCAGCCATTATTCGCACTTTGAACTGGCCTTTTCAGATTTGTTTACCAAAGCAATGACTTGTTAGGTAGCTTTCTAAACTTAAGTAATTTTGAAGTGCCATTTGTAGGTTTTCATTATCTACAACTGAAATTGTGTTATTGGGTGGGGGTTACTCATTTTCTGTGAATTTATCTTTTTAGAAAATGGCAATCTGGCCATTTTTGTGGGTTAGCAGTGACTGGTGACATTAAAAGTGAAGTCACCAATCTACAAGATTCCTATACTACTGAGATTTCCAATAATCAATTGCACTGTGGTTGGAGAAGGCAAATTGGACACTTCTGAGCTGCTCACAAAGTCACTAAGTTGTGAAGTACCCAACTGGAAATTCTGAGTTTTAAAGTCTCTAGTTATAACAAAATCGGTGCTTTTGAAAATGTGCTGGTTGTTCAGACATTTTGAAGTAATTTACACAGAATGCATCTTTGTATCCTGATAAACTGTGGAAGGTTAAATAACACCAGACACTGAGATTCTCTTAAGAAAATGGCTTGGACTTCCAGAATACATTGTTATTTTTTCACCCAGTCAAGTTTGCATTGTATCATTTTTCCATATGAAATGTCTTTCCCAACTACACCTGCCCTCAGAGACTCTGAATTACACATTTAAAGGAAGTATCCTTTCTTAATGAGCTGAAGAATGGCATTCTGTTAAAAAGATGAACAGCTGGTCATGCAGAAATTCTCTGGAATGCTCACTTGTCCTACAAAGGCAGGGAAAGAACTGAGATGTTAGTATAGTGAGTGCCACTGGTATATGAATTTTTTTTCTTCTCTTTAGTTCTAGTAATCTTACTAGAATCCTTATATACCTTTAATAATTAATTGCCTTTCTTCTTAAAAGACTGCTAATCTGTCAACAACGTGAAGGCGCTGAGAACACACTAGGTGCAATTCAGTGGGTCTCAGGATTGTGCTGGAATTGCCCCATTTGCTAAATCATGGTTCCTTAGATTAAGATTCAGGACCCTCTCGTGTTTATCCTTTGTTCTCGATTACCTTGGGATTAAGTTCAAACTTCTTAAGCATGACACACAAAGGATTTGACTCTTGCTGGGCTCCCCAAGCTCATCTCTCACTCTTCCCCTTTGAATTCTTTGTTTCAACCACATGAAACTACAAATGAGCTAAGCACTCACTTCTTCCTTCTTGAGCTCAAGCAGCAGCCTTTCCTCCTATCTTGACCGACTCTGACTTGTCCACCCCTGATTTCTTTCTTTGTGTGGTTCTTCGTATTTTCAGGGTCGGAACACAGTTGGGGTTCTCTGTTTACTTAATACATTTTCCCCCAAGAGGTTTGGTTTCAGTTTTTTCTCTTTATTCTGCTTTGTTTACCGGAATTTCTACAGAAATTATTTCAATGTAGTAGGAGGGAGCTCAGTAGAGTAGAGCATTACCTCCCCCCGGTTACAGATAAATGAGATTACAAGAGATTGGGTCCGTTAGGCGTTTGCAAAGAGAGGGACCCTCGGAGGCCAGCCTGCTGTTAGGAGGGCTAAACTCTGCCTTGAAGTGTGAGTTCTCAGCACCGGACGTTCCCCAAATTTGTAGAGTTGAGTTACTGTTGTGAGCTATTGCAGACTGTACGGATAGGTCAAGACGGAAGCCAGAGAGCTTGTGTCCCGAGTGCAGATAGGTTAGTGCTTGCGCTTCTGGCTCGAGAAAAGGAAGGCAAGATGCCACATCTGAAGTGGGTCATCTTCCTCTACCCCTTCCTGACAGGACAGACCGGACAGACGGTAGCGCCCTTGCTTAGACAAATCGTCCTCTCTGCTCCAAGAAAAGCTAGTTAGTGACTGTAAGCAAACGTGAGTGTAAAGATACCGTGTCCTCTGGGCCTTTGGGCACTGAGATGTTTACGTAGGGTCCGGGGGAGGCACTTCCGCGGGACTCCGCGGCTCGCGAGCCTCGCCCCCAGCCTCCTGGCGCGCCCAGGCCAGGACGCGGGCTCTGCGGGGTCGGGGAGCCCAGTGCGAATCCCCAGGGCTGGTTCCCGAGGCCAGAGAGACAGCTCGGCGTTCCAGGCAGTGCCCGGTAGCCGTACCCACCCTCGCAGCCCCATCACTTTCTGAGGCTGTCAGCAGAAAGCCCCGCCGGGCCAGAGAGGCGGGACGGCTGGGGATGGCCTCTCGGCGCCCTCTGCGCGTCGGCACTCTTCGCCGGGCAGTTGGGGCGCCCTCCGCTGTGGCCCCGGGCGGAGGAGAGGAGTTTCCGGGGCTCCGGTCCCCGAAGCCATCCCGGCCGGGGAGGCGCGGAAGCGAGTGGGCGGCGAGAGGCGGAGCAAGGGCCGCGGGGGGCGTGGACGCAGCCGGCTTTGGAAAGGCCCCAAGTTAATGAGGCGTGCGCCGGCGGCAGAGCGCCTTTCGGAGCTGGGCTTTCCCCCGCGGCGCGGGCGCCAGGAGCCGCCTTTTCCGCTGGGTGTCACTCGGGGGTGGGGAGGATGGCCCATTCAAAAGCGCCGCGAGGGGCCCGCCAGTGCCCTTCAGTGAGCGCTCGCAAGAGGACGGCAGAGGCCCGGCGTCTCGCAGCTCCGGGACCTTGTGGCGCATCAGGACGCGGTCTGCCCTGACTGCCGGGACCCCGAGCCGCCGCCGTCGCTGTGCTTCCTGCGCGTTAGCCTCTTCTGCGCGCTCCGGCCGGGCGGCCTCGGGAGCCGCTGGGGCGAGGACGGCGCGCGGCTGCTGCTGCTGCCCCCGGCCCGGGCGGCTGGAAGTGGAGAGGCCGAGCCGAGCGGCGGCCCCCCCTATGCCGGGAGGATGTTGGAGAGCAGCGGCTGCAAGGCGCTGAAGGAGGGTGTGTTGGAGAAGCGCAGCGACGGGTTGCTGCAGCTCTGGAGAAAAAGTGCTGCATCCTCACTGAGGAAGGGCTGCTGCTCATCCCGCCCAAGCAGCTGCAGCAGCAGCAGCAGCAGCAGCAGCAGCAGCAACAGCAGCAGCAGCAGCAGCAGCAGCAGCCCGGGCAGGGTCCGGTCGAGCCTCCCCAACCTGGAGGCCCCGCTGTGGCCAGCCTCGAGCCGCCGGTCAAGCTCAAGGAACTGCACTTTTCCAACATGAAGACCGTGGACTGCGTGGAACGCAAGGGCAAGTACATGTACTTCACTGTAGTGATGGCCGAGGGCAAGGAGATCGACTTTCGGTGTCCGCAGGACCAGGGCTGGAACGCGGAGATCACGCTGCAGATGGTGCAGTACAAGAACCGGCAGGCCATCCTGGCGGTCAAGTCCACGCGGCAGAAGCAGCAGCACCTGGTCCAGCAGCAGCCCCCGCAGCCGCAACTTCAGCCTCCACACCAAACCCAGCCTCAGCCTCAGCCCCCGTCCCAAGCCCAGCCGCAGCCTCAAACCAAGCCGCAGCCCCAACCCAAGCCCCAGCCCCAGCCCCAGCCGCAGCCGCTCCACCCGTATCCGCACCCGCATCCTCACTCGCACCCGCACTCGCACCCGCACTCGCACCCGCACCCACACCAACCACCGCTCTCGCAGCCCCACGGCCACCGGCTTCTCCGCAGCACCTCCAACTCTGCCTGAAGAGGGCAGCACCCGGGCCAGCCGAGGTAAGGTCCCGGCAACTCGGCTACCGAGGGCCGTTCGGAGGAGTGGGGCTCGCGGGGCGGGGTGGCGGGGAGTGTTAGGAGTAGGAGGCCGGTTCACGAGTTCGGCTCTTGGGTGGAAAAAGTAAGACGTTAATCTGAGTTTCTGGGAGATAGGAAGAAGTGAAGCAAGCTGGAACCCGGAGAGGCCGGGCAGAGAGAGGAGGGTGGAGGGGACGCCTGGGGATCGCCCGCCCGCCCACGCCGACCCGCGCGTGTTCAGCGGTGCGCACCCCAGCGACGCCGCTGGCCCTGTAAGTGTCACCAGCGCCACTTGACTGTGTCTGGGCACTCGGGGGAGCCACCCAGGTGTCTTTCTAAGCGCTCTTTGTCCGCCGGACAGGCCCAAAGACAACTGGGTCTTGGAGGATTGTGAGCCACTTACTTCAATCCATGTCATTTCTTTCCAGGTTTTGAGGACTTGAGGAAGTGGGACGATCACCCTTCTATTGTCTTCACTTGGATTGAGAAAAGTCTCCCCGCCCCGCACCAGATCAAGTAGTTTGGACATAAACCGACTGATAACTTGAGATTCCGCTTCGTTTTCTGCATTCTCTTTCTTCATCACAATGCAGGAAATGATTTCGAGTCCAGAAGGCTTTATTTATGAACCTTTGAAAGGATCTTCCAGTATGGTGGACCTTCTAGGAGCGATCATGTACTGTAATTTTATTTTAATGTATTTTGATTTATGATTATTTATTAGTTTTTTTTAAATGCTTATTCTAAGACATTTCTGAATGTAGGCCATTTTCCAAAAAAGAAACTTTATTTTCAAAAACCTATTCCGTAGTAAGTTCTAATCTTGGAAAAGAAGGAAGTAAAAGGGCGGTGGAGGGGAATACATTAAGAATCTATTCATGATTCCTAGGGCATTTTCAGAAGGTCTGACACTTCATTGTTGTACCAGGTGATTGAAATTAAACTCTGTGATATTACTTTTTTTTTGAGATTTTTTTCTTAGACATATATTTTGTGTAGAATAGAAGCTTAAAGAACCTAAACGTTCAGAATTGTGTAATTATAAAAATCTAATTGTTTTTCTGAAAGGAAATCAGTAGTAATGATATCTAATTCAAATATTTAAAACATAACCCAACTGATGGCAAAATGATCATATCCTGAATATATGGGAGGGTTAGGTCTGCTGTGGGAAAGGCCTTGCTTAGCTCATCTGTGTGGGAAGGGTTTAATAAGGAGTTTTCAGTGATTTCTGAGTATAAATGCATCAGGAGTTTCATTTCAAAAAACATAGTGGGGGGGAAAGAATTACTGCAAATACTGAGAGAACATTTGTGCTCTTATCCACAACGGTGATGACCCTTCTTCAAGAGCTTTGTGCATTTGCTGTGAACCACATTTTCTGATCCTTGTACTTTGTTCTAGAAGCATATTCTAGAATCTCATAGATTGAAATACAGTTTGTAAATCTTTCAAAGGACTAGAAGTCATAGCTTTTTGTTTTTATCCTGAGATCAACATTGATCAGAGACACCAATGGTTTTGCTTTTTATTGCTCTTTGAGAAATCCAAGGGTTATATGTTTTGTTGTTAGGTTAGCTAAACTCGGAAATTGAAAAAGGAAGGACTGGATAAACAGTGGATTTGCAGTAAGAAAACAACCCCAGTCTTGTTTTAGCAGCTACTTGTTCAGGAGTCTGGGGAGGTTGCGGGGAGCGGGTGGGGTGGGGGAGAAGAGGATGTGCTTTTAAAGGTAGAACAAACCCTCTTCTGTGCTAAATCAAAAGGATGGTCAAAATCCACAAAGGCAGATGCTACTTAAGTTTAAAAAGAGCCGTGGATGCTACCAAATCCTCTTGGGGCTGAAAATCACTTCCTATCTGCACAGCTTGACTAACGGGTTTCTCTGTCTTCCATTATCTTCTTCGCAAAGTCTTGATCACTATTTTTCCAGCTTCCAAATCGGAATGGTCAGTATGAAGCCATTGCTAAGTTCTACAGTTGAGAAATGAAAATAGAATTTCATGCTAGAGATGTCTTTATTCACCTTCCATCTAAAAAGGAGTTTCAAGGTCAAATTAACTTTTCAGTGCAGTATTTAAATGATAATTTGAGATCATAACTTGAATCCAAAAAGTGGCAGAGGAAAATAAAATTCAGGCAAATGGCAAGCAAGTCTTCAGTGGACTCCCACTTTCAGAGGCTGACTTGCAGTTACATATATATGCATATATGTGTATATAGGGCAGGAGTTCTTAAGTCAAGTTTGGTTTGACTTCTTTGGAAGCACAGCTGTACTTAGTAATAGTGCCTCTTTGTACTGTTGTTTTAATATCTGTGGGTCATATAACCCCAACTAAACCACAGCTTTTTTTTTCCAGATGGAAGGATTTTTCTTTCAAATTCTTGAGTGATAAAGAAAGTAAAATCCATACCAAATACTTTTAAAATTAAGATTCATGGATGCTTTTAAAGGCATTTGTATGTTGTTATCTTACATACAGTCTAGGTAGCATTGTCCAAAAAAAATATATATATATATTATATATATATACACATATAAAATACATATATATACGCCCAGGCTCCCGCCTGGCTGCTGGAATTTTTTATTTCTCACAATGGCCATGGGTCTTAATGGCCACCAGAATCATGGTTCCTTATCTCATCTTTCCACAGCCCTTATCCTTGCTCTGCTGTGATATTTACATTGAATTGACCGTCTTCCTGGCTCAATAGTCTGAACCCTTTTTAGAATCCGACAGTGAAACCTCAGAATTTAGAAAGGAGAGGAGCAGGATGGTTTTTGTTGTTTAACACTTATTATAGTTTAATAATTTTTCCAGAACAACAACAAAAAATGAGCATGCTTAACACTACTCAACAGAAACACAAAAGCAAACCATTTAATGTGTCGGTGGCTTGATTTTACCTGTAAGAAAATGATACAAACCACCTAAGGTGTTATGAGGCCTGACAACTCACCTTCATGGAGAAAGGTAAAAATACTTCTTTCAGCCCAAGAAAGAGAAGAGGGAAAGGGCAGGTCCAATGGAAAACCCACCCCTTAAGTAAACATCAAATGGAAAAAGTGGGAAAATGAATGTCCCATCTGGAAACGGAACATTTTGTCTTTGAACTTGTGTTGGCACCAAGCCTCATACACAGCTCAATAAGTATTTGTTGAGACGAATGAATGAAAGAAGGAAAAAATGTCTAACTCCCAGCACCCAGGAGGTGGTTTCTCTTGCCTCACACAGTGCTTCCTTTACTGGCTCTCATGCCTTTCCTTGAGAACAGCTAATCCTGGGACAGGCTGTGCATCGTGACGAAATTCCTTGGACATAAACTTCCTTAGCAGAAATCCACGCAGATCTGCGTATGCCCTACAGGGAGTGCTGAGGTCAGAGAGTAAGTGGTGATAAAGGGCCCTTTCAAAATGAACATGTCCCTCATAGAGGAACAGGGATTCTCTCATCATGCAGAAATCAAACCGACTTTGTATTTCTTTTCACATATTTTTTTCAACGGAGGCAAAAAGAAAAAAAAAAGCCAACTCTTTGCTGAAAAGAGTTCCTCTTACACGTAAACACTGTTAGGAACTCCGGATTAAGTTGAGAGATCTGTTTTAATTTTTTTTGCTCTTATATACCAAACACTCTATTTCTTTCTTTTTATAGGCTCCTTATTTTAAATTCGACACTATATGAATTTGTTGCCAGTGTGGGAGTTCAAACACATCACTTGTTTACTGTCCCCAGGGCAAGGTGACTTGGCTTTAGCTTGGATCGAGGTGTGTACAATGTCATGTTCAGTGGCAGATTTGGAAGAGAAGCTCTAAGACTTGAATTCAACTGGAGGAGGATGGGCCTGTGAGCATTCATTCTTCTCTTTTTTTTTTGGAAAGGTCAAATGCATTGGTTTTTTGCTTTACCAATAAAATGCCCTCAGCAGAAGAAAACTTAAATTTGGTAATTATAGAGCTTGATATTTAATCCATCAGTGATTCTTTCAAGAGAAATACACCTGCTTACCTAAAGTAACCGAAGATGTGTTAATTGTGGAATCGCTTTGGATGGGTTTTTAGGAACTATTTTGTAAATTCTTGACACAGTTTAAAGGGGGAATTTTGATCTGCAGTGCTGAACAGCCAATCTAGATTTATGTAAGATTGGATGACAATGTGATTGCGACTTTGTTGGCAGGATGTCTGCCAAATGAAGTATAGAATTCAGAGTTTCTTAGAAAGGACCTTATTGTCCAGTGAAGGAAGCAGAGGACTCCGGACCATTAGAAGCACCTGCCTAAAAGTTGCATGAAAACTCCTACTTGCTCTGAAGCTGGCCTGCTGGTGATCAGCTGGGTGGTAGGGAAGCAGATTTTAACAACAGGTGGTCCTTCCAGATCACTGTATTTATTTTGAGAAGAAAGATAAAATGATTGTTTGTTACATTCGCCTGTCCGCCTTCTGCTTAGAGTTTCAGAATATGCAAACGCCAGCTTTGAAAAGCTAGCATCACCATGTACCGAATGCTTTGCAAATTATCATGTTGGTGAACTTAACGGTGTGGTCATAATTTGTGTAAATATGTCTCTTAAATGATTCTGGAGAGATGTGATTTATTTTTCACATTTTCAAAATGCATTCCATTTCAAATAAAGTATCTATGGAGATGACTGACCTGTGGACCTGGTGAAGGCCCTGTTCCCCTGGCACGTACACTGTGTGTTCCTGTGGGAAAAGGGTTCAAAAGAGCTTGGCCATTATAAAGGCCATGACCATTCTGGGAAGAAAAAGACCATTTTTTGACGTTGGAAATTCATTTTAAAAAATTACCTGGGCATTCTGAATATAGGACATAGAAGTTCACTCAGTGTTTTTGGTGAAATAATTATTGTTTCTGGAATGCTAATGAATTTGAGTTGAATTTTTCCATAGTGCCCAGAGGACAAGGACTGGTCCCTAGTGAGTTAGCTTGGAGCAATTCCCTCTTGAGTCCCAGAGGGCTGCGAGCCTTCCTTGGTCCCTTGAGAGGGTGAAGCCTTAAATGTAAGAGAATCATCTTCCAAACAGGTGTCTAAAAAGCTTCCTGTTTTTTGTCGAGAGCAGGAGACTTGATTCTTTAAAGGAAAATAGCATGACTTTGCTCTCCACGGGCATCGAAAAGTCTTTAAATCTCAGAAGACTTTAAAATAGGCAGTTTTTATCTCAGCCTAGTCTTACATTGACATTTTATTCCTCCACCATTTTTTGCTTTGTTTTGAAAGAAGAAATGAAATTTGAGAAGACAAACTAGTGCCATTGTGAGGGAACTTCAGAGGAACAGTGTGAAATAAATATATGGGTAGGTGGAAAGGTAGGGTTGGTAATAGCCAGGATTTGTGAGCATTTGTGTGTACATGGGTTCAAGTCCCAGTTCCACCACTTACAGGCTGTGTAGACTTTGAGTAATTTAAGCTCTTGGAAAATCAATTTCCTTCTCTGTCAAAGAGAGTTAATAAAGGTACCCACCTTCTGGTTATTGAGAAGATTTAATAAGTTAGTGCACGTAAAAGTGCTTAGAACAGGACCTGAGATTACTATGACAGGAAACTCCCATGAGTTAAGGCAGATAAGCAGGTTTGGAAATCATTGTAACTATATGAATATATAACATATGGTGTTTTAAAGCTGTGAATTGTATTTTCTGAGACCTCAGCACTTCTTTTAAATGGTAAGAACGGTCTGGTGGCAACATCCTTGTTTTTTTTAAAAAAGCCATTATTTATAACATTACTATTTTCATTTGCTTGTCACTTTTCAGTCTTGGTTCACAGGCTTGTGCATTTTAAGTGAGTTACACTTGAAATGCTCATATCTGTGTCTGTAGAGGATGCTGTGGTGCTCCGCCCAGATTGCCACTTCAGGACAGAGAGGGTACTCAGTCCCCAGGTATGGGACTGTTGGCAGCGGTTGTACTGTCAGTGAGCCCTGTCCTTGGAATTGTCCTCGGCTTTGTCTCAGGGAGAGGCCCCTTGCCCTAGGACACAGCCCCTCCTTGGAGGTGGCTCTCATCCAGTGATTGGTCTGTGGGAAGTGGATAAAGACCAGGCTCTGTTATCTCCAGTCAGGACAACGTAAAGGGCCACCCCAGCTCCAGCATTCCATGTAGAATTGGCTGAGGCCCGTCTCAACAGTGAGTTGGCTGTGTAGTTCAACTCTCCTTCTCCCCAGTCCTGTTTCCTTCGCTCCTTCACAGGAGAGGTTCCCAAGAACGATTCCCCTTCCTCCCCTCCAAACCTCCTGCAGTCAAATCTCAGAGTCTCAGAACCTGTTTCTCAGGGAATCTTGTCTACAACCCTGTGTGTGTGTGTGTGTGTTTGTGTGTATGTGTGTGTGTGTGTGTGTGTGTGTGTGTGTTTCTACCGCCACGTTTCTGTAGGAAGGCTGGTGATGTTGGAAGGGGGACCTATAACAAAATGAATAAGCTTATGCTTTAGAGTAGTTGCTCTCAACCTGGACCAATTTCCCCTCTCAGGAGACATTTGACAATGTTTGGAGACATTTTCGGTTTTCACAACTGGTGGTAAAGGTCCGGGATGCTTCTAAACATCTGCAGTGCACAGGACAGTCCTCCATAACAAAGAATTATCCAGCCCCAAATGTTAATAGTGGATGGTTGAGAAATCCTGCTTTAGAGTCAGAAAGTCTTTATCTTACTGAGTTCCATTGGGAAAGTGATTTAGTTTATTTTAGCCTTGGTTTTCATGTGTGAAATGCAGGTGATGATTGTACCTGTCTCATGGAGTTGTGAACCCCAAATTAGTTCACATAATGAGCTATGTCGCTGTTCCTGTCACAAATTAAGCATTCAGTCCATGGTGGCTATCACTGTCACTATTATTATTTAAAGTCATAATTTTAATGAGAGTGTATTATCCCACTGAGTGGATGTACTGTTTCATTCATTTGCCTGTTGTCATCTAGTGAGTGTCTGTCTTGTTGCTGTTATCAGTCCTCCTGCCATACGTATCTTCATGCATACATCATATCAAGAAGAGCATGGACTTGGATTCTAATTCTGACTCTGCTTGGTCTTGTGACATTAGGCAGCTCACTTGATCTCTGAGACCTAGTCTGCGCATTTGTAAGTGGGAACAGCTGCCCTGCCCTCAAGGAGCTATTGTAGACATACACACACTGAAGTGGCAGCGAAATCTACATGAGTTCAAGTCCTAGATCCACCATTTAACCACTGGACTTACAGTGAAGCCTTATGCAAATGAAAACATTATTATCTGGATACCATTTTAAGAGGGGTTAGATATTATATCTATATATTTATTGTACCTATGTATCTGTATATCGATATAGATCTATGTGCATCTAATACACATATCCATTTTCCAATCCAAATAATTTGGTCTTAAAAAATAGGATGTGATCACAACTAGAAAAATAGAATCAAGTAATCTCTAGTTTTTTGGAGAACTTGAGCCAACTTTATATTCATATTTAAGTGGAAGGAATCATATGAACACAATATTGCAACTGTCTAGAATTATTGACACAGAAAAACCTGAGTGACAGACTCACTGGCCATATAAATCTACTCAGCAAGGCGTTCTTTCTTGCTTTGTTTCCTTCTCAAAGATCCTGTTGGAAGCACTCAACACACAGAAAGGCAATACATGTCATGGTGTGGGTGTCCTCGACCCCTGCACCTACTTGCCTACAAAGTGAAGTTAAGTTATCAAAGATGGAGCAGGTTGGGGCCAGAGGACTTTGGAGATTTAGGTGATCTGGGGTGGGCTGTTGATGTAGGCAGGTCTTCTTGGTCTGAGGGTTGTTCTGAATCTGATTTTATTTTGAAGGGATTGTTAGAACCTGAGGACAGAGAGGACCACTTTTTTACCCCTTGATACAGAGTCCCAGTTGACTGCTCTGAGACAGAGTCGTCATGGGAGTGATTTGCTCTCTGCCAGACATTCACCTAAAGCATTGGAGGATTAGTTAGACGCCGGAAGTGAGAACTTGAAAAATTAGTCGACGTAGTTGTGTTGCAAACTCTCCAACCCTGCCAAAGTCATTTCTGATGGAGTGCTTTAAGACCAGACATCCTGTGCTTCCGAAGCCACTGATAAGTAAGTGTTCAACTATTATACAGAAGGGAACAGGAAATGACTCTGGAGGAGATTCAAAGTTTTAATTATGTCACTGTCCTGAAGCTGGTAGTTCATACAGTTCAGTTCCTACTGAAGCTGACAGTTCATTTATTTTGCAAGTATTTTGAACTTTGCTGTAGCAAATTCTACTGAGTGGTGCGGCTTACTCTGTCAGGGCTGACTCATCACCTCAAAAGAGCAGACTGGCTTTGTGAGTCATCACAGTCAAAGAGGCCAAAC